GGTCAGTGGAAGAGCTCTTGCCTAGGATGTGTGAAGCCCCTGGTACAGACTTCAGCACTACATTATTTGGGCACAGTGGCACCTGCCTGTAAGGTCAGTACTCAGGAGGTAGAGGCAGGAGGATCAGAAGTTCCAAATTGTTTTCAGGCAGAGGAAGTTTGAGGTTAGACTGAGCTAGAGACCCTAACCAGAAAGTAGAAGGGGAACAAACACACTTACAATTTGGTGAAATACACACACACACACCTTTTTTGGGGGGGTCTATTTTCCCTCTTTATGCCGGTCCAGGCTGGTCTCAAATCTCTATTCTCCTGCCTCAGCCTCTGAGTACTGGAATTATAAGTAAATGCCAAAACATCCAAATTATGCAGTCATTTAAAAAAAATTAAGATTTATTCTTTGAGACAGGGTTACATAGCCCTGGCTGCAAGGAACTCACTATGTAGACCAAGACGTTTCTGAACTCACAGCAGTCCGCCTGCCTCTGCCTCTGGAGTGCTGGGATTAAAGGCGTGCTCCACTATGCCTGGTTTCTACTATTTATTCTTAATTATGTGTATATTTGAGTGTCTGTGTGTGGGAACATGTATTTTAAGTACAACTGCTTCCAGAGGAACAGAAGCACTGAATCCCTCTGGAGCCGCAGTTAAAAGCAATTCCAAGAAGCTCCATGTGGGTGCTGAGACGCAAACTTGGTCCCCGGCAATAGCACTATGCCCTCTTAACTACCAGTTTTCCGGTCCCTGACAGAACATTGAGGGAAGCAGTGCAAAATCAGAGCAGAGTGCAGACGGAGGAACAACAGAAGCCAGCCAAACCCACGAGATATACTTGGCTGTGATAGTGCCTCGCCTTCTGTGAAAGCTGCCCTCAAATGCGCGGTGGACGAACGAGTCAGGTCCTGCTCTGTGAACACTGAAAACCTCATTTGTCCAGTAGAGATGGAAAACTAGCTAGCAGTCACTGCTTTTCCCCCATGGTCATGTCACCAGCCAACAGCAGTTATTCTAATAACTCATATATGTGCTCTTTATTTATTTTGGTGCCAGGTTTTGAATCCAGGGCTTTGCCCATGCCAAGCACATGCTCTCCTACACCCACGTTCTCAGCAAAAACGATTGATTTCTTTTTCTTTCTTTTTCCTTTTGGTGTGTGTGTACATGCCTGCACACAAGTGTAAAGGACCGAGGAGGACATTGATGTGGCTTGCTCTTTTGGCTTCGCTGGCCATCCAGTGACTTCTGGGGATCTCCCTGCCTCTGTCCATGCCCCTCACTGGGGTTACAGGTATGCACATCCATGCAAGACTTTTACAACGTTCTAAAGATTTGAACTCAGGTCCTCTTAATTTCACATCAAGAGTTCTTACCCACTGACCTATCTTCCCAGGCCAAAAATGTTGCACTGGGAAGGAAAAGCTGTCCAGCTTCTGGAATGTTCTAGTTTCAGTGCCTGAACATATGGAGTAATGGTCTCTAGACATTACAGAAATGAATGCAAGTGTCCCAAAGAAACAATTTCTAACAGAAATGACTGGTACTGCTGTACAAACAAGACATTCTTTCATTCTTCAGTCCAGGTAACTAATCTACTTTTAAACTTTGAGAGAACAGCAAGGATGGGAAGAGACTGGCTATAAAAGTATTTGTATTGAGAACTGTCCCCTCAGTGAACTTCATTGGTTAGTGTTCTCTGTGGCAAGGATTCCCTATCTCAGTGTTCATTCTATACTTTAATTTGGTAGGTTTTTGTTTAATCATCCTATTGAGGGGAGAACAGAGGTGGTTTGGGTGACTGTTGAGTAATGCACTATATTTTTATCTCTGTAAAAGCCCCATGGTAAGAATGCTGCGATAGCCCCTGATCTTCTCCAGGTTTGGAATCACACATCAGCCAGAGGATAAAGATCCTCTCTGTATTTAGTGGCAGATGCCTTACGAATACCTTGTTGGCCACAGAGAAGGAGCTTTGCCAGCTACCCTAGTCGCCGCCGGCGGATTATCGCACCATACGAGCAGCTCAGTTTCCTGTGTATCTGTTTCCTGGATACCGTCTCCTATAAAAACACTGGTAGGGTAAGTACTTTGTCTACCTTCTTGTTAGAAAATACGGATGCTGTTCAGATGATGGCGTGGGATAAAGGGAAAGCAGGTTGCTGCTTTACTTACAGTTGGAAACTTCCAACCTTCCGAATGAGAAATACTTCATTCCTTTGCTTCAAATTCTGTTACAACCCGCATTTCCTGCAGCTGAGTCCCTCCGCTTTGCAGAGCTAACCCCCACTTTTACTGCGTGTGTAGTGCACGTATGTGCAGTCACACTTGCCAGTGTGTGCACTTGTGGAAGCCAGCGCTATTTTTCCTATTTTTCTCTATTGCTCTCCATCCTGTTTCTTATTGTTGTTAAGAGACATAAACAGGCACAGAAGTAGATGACCTTAATCCTGGCACTTGGGAGGCAGAAGCAGGCAGATCTCTTAGCTCAAGGCCAGTCTGGTCTACAGAGTGAGTTTCGGGATAGCCAGGGCTATACAGAGAAACCTTATCTAGAATGACCCCCCAAAAGAATCACTGGATAATGGTGGTGTATGCCTTTAATCCCAGCACTGGGGAGGCAGAGGCAGGCAGATCTCTGAGTTTGAGGCCAGCCTGGTCTACAGAGTGAGTTCTAGGCCAGCCAAGGCTACAAAGAGAAAACCCTTTCTCAAAAAAACAAAAGAAAGAAAAAAGAAAAACCAAAACCTAAACACCAAAAAGCCAACAGGCAAACTAAAAAGTACTTAGGTGTATGCACATGTGCAAATCTGTGTGCTGACGCCATGGAGGACAGAAAGCAGCCCTGGAGTTCCAGGCACTGAGCATCCTGGAGCGGTGCTAGACCTGGACTTTGATCCTCTAATAGAGTAGAAAGAGCACTTAACTGCTGATGCATCTCTCCAGCACTCTGTTTTTGAGGTAAGGTCTTTTACCGAACCTGGAGTTTGCCATTTTGGCTAGACAGGCTGGCCACCAAGTCCCAGAAATGTATCTTTCTGCCTCCAAAGCTGGGTTGTAGGTGAACATTCTCATGCCCAGCTTTTCTGTGTGTTGGGGACAATTCGGGTCCTCATGCTTGTCCAGCAAGCACTTACTCACTGAGACATCTCCCCAGCTCTATGCCCACCTTTCCTCTTTTTCTAGAACTTACTGTAGTTCCCTACCCTGTCACCCTCCTCTACTAAGCCAGACTCATTTTCCATGCCACCATTAAGGAAAGCAGTCTCCGTTCTTTTTTTCTGTGTTTATAATTTGTGTTCTCCCTCCCTCCCCCCCTTCCCTTCCTCCCTCCCTCCCTCCCCCCCTCTGACATATTCCCTTGTGGAGAATGATTCTGACCAACTTCCTAACTTTTCTTTGTAACATCGATGTTCTATTTTCTAACCCACACTTATTTGCAGTTTCTTGAACTTCCTCTGGCCGGTGTCACAAACAGCTGTGCAGTGGAGACTGCAACTACCGTTCATTTTGCACAGGCCACTGAACAGTCCTAAGATGGGGACAACTTTTGGTTTCTAGTGACCTAGACTGGATTCGACTCACTGACCTAGAAGTGAAAGGCTCTGTGTCCCATTACTAATCCCTGAGCCATCCAGCCCCCTGAAAATGATTCTTTGGTTTTATTATTGCAAAGACCATTTATAAAATCATGAACTGGATTTAGGAAAGCAACCATGAAATAGCAAGGGACAACAAATTGATTGAAATTCCTTAAATGTCTCGTGGGCTGGAGACTCTCAGACAGGAGGAAGGGGGAAAGTTCTATATAGGTACCTCCTTTCTTACTTTAGGAGTGCAGCCTGCTCATTTAGACGTGGCAACTTCAGATCCACTGACCATGCCTCAGGGAACTAATTACTAAATAAAGAAGATAGAAAAGCAAACTACGAAACAGCCAATAATCTTTATTTTGCACTTCCCCCACCCTTCACCCCTCTCCAAAAAGCACTAGTGGGTATATTTGTGCATGTGAAAATATTGTATAAAGTATTTAGGATGATCTCTACTAAATGAAACAAACAAACAAACAAACAAACAAAAAAGACACACATATCTCAACATCGATACTTTTTGGGAGGCAGGGGAAGAAAACTTCTGGCTTCTAGAATAAAGAGAGTGGTGATTTCAGCACTCTTCTCGGGTCGACTCCATTCCCACTGTTCTGCATTTGAACATCAAGGCAGAGAACCACATTTCTGAAACCACATTGTATGTTTTAAAATAGGACTAATTATAATGCTAATATCCATTGAGATAGCAGTAAAAAAATCACATTTCTATTCATATATTTTATATTAGGTTCAAATTCCACATTCTAACATTCAAGATAGCCTTCACACAAGCCCAAATTGGGATTAGTTCAAAATCAAGTAAAAGTCCACAGTTATTCCAAAGTCACTAAAATATGCTAATAAAGTTAAATTTGATGTTTTTTACATTAAAAATAAAATATTTGGTTTATGTTTCAGATATCTATAACATATAATAAATAGTGGGCAGCATAGTAATATAATAAAGTTTTGTGATACCCTGAAATTTGATGAGTTTTCTTAAAAAAAATTTCATAATATACTTCATTTCAACCTTAAAGCACAACATCCATGAACAAACCTGTAGAAATAAAACAATATAAACAAAAAATGCTACAGTGTTTTTCTTTTTTCTTTTTTTTTTACTTTTGTGGAAACTACATGTCCTTTTAGTAAAAGTGAGAAAAATTTACAGAAAATATATAACAAACAAAACAGTTTCAAAGCATCAACTCTAGATTTCAATTGCCTTGTTCCCTCCGACTGCGAGGGTCCTTTCCCTACCATGTTTTGGGCATGACATTTGGGGAGGGATCTGGGTCTTTCTCTCTATCCTCTTGGCCTGTGTACAGCAGCAATTACAGACATGGCTGAAATCACAGTGAATTCCAGAGAAAACCAGAATTAAACACGATAAAAAAATTTTAAAAATAACTACTTCATAAATATTTATTATTTACAGTAAGGGACATTTTTCTTAGTATCAAGAGTTTTATACAAGTTGATGAATGTACACGCGGTGGGGAGAAGAGGCTCCAGCAGGTTACAGAGAGCAGGATTCAAACACAACCAAGTTATAAAATAGGCTAAAGGAAAATAATTTGCACAGAGGCGAACAGGACATGATAGAAACCTTTTTCTTAAAAAATATAAGGTATCTCACAAAAGCCTGAACATTTTACATGTTAGTAATAAAAGTGGGGTAAGGTGGGGGAATTTCATATATTCTCATCACAAAAATATTTACCAGTCCTCTGACTGGGGCGTTCTTTCCTTATGATTATCTCTGTGAGGGAGAGAGGGCTTGGAACTATAGCTAACGATGCATCCTTCAGTTACAATCAAGGCATTTGTACACTACCTTCTCATCTAACACCGTAATAAAAGGTTCTGGAGAGAAGAAAGGGAATGGGGGGGGGGTAGATGTGTGGTGTCTTTATTAATACTTGTCACTGGTAATAGGCAGATGGCGGTGCGAGCCCTCAGCCACGCCTCTACTAGAGTTTTTCTTCAGTCACATGCCCTGGGAGCTCAGGTCCATGTGCTTCAGAAGGAGCGTCCAGAATGATGGTATATTCTTGTCCTTGTTCCACCAGGACGCGCTGTCCACAGGGCCTGGGGGAGACAGAATGGCAGAACCGGCCCAGCCCGGACCCAGTACGGGGCAGCAGTCCTGCCCATGCTGACGTCAGTGCGCACGGTGTTTCCTCTTCTTGTGCTTCTTGTCTTTCTTTATCTTGGCACACTTGGAGCAGAACCACTGCATCTCTTCCGGAGGAGCTGCCATTAATCCCACACAGGGCCTAGACATCAAAAGTTCAGGTAAGTTTCTTACAATTTTCTTCCTTTTTTGTTCTTTTGGGACAGGTTTCTCTGCGTAGCCCTGGCTGTCCTGGGAACTAACTCAGGCTGGCTTCCTGAGTGCTGGGATTAAAGACGCATGCCACCACAGCTCTGCGCTCATGATTTTCTTTTTCTGAGGCATGGTCTGCAAGCTACCATGCTCTCCCCTGCAACCCCCACAGAACTTTACAAAGTTTTTATTTTTGTGTTATGTGTTTGAGTATATTCCCTGTGTAACATTTGTGTGCCTGGTGCTGGCAGAGGCGGGAAGAGGGTGTGGGATCCCCTGTGAAAGGAACTGCAGACCACAATGAGTCAACATGAGGATGTTGGGAGTTTCCCAGGAGAAGCAGATGGAGCTCATAACTAATGAGCTGTCTCTTCAGTCACTGCCATGTGTTTTTTTTTATAATTTATTTTCATTTTATATGCATTGGTATTTTGCCTGCATGCATGTCTGTGTGAGGGTGTCAAATTTTGGAGTTGCAGTTGTTAATTACCATGTGGGCGCTGGGAATTGAACCTAGGTCCCCTGGAAGAGCAGTCAGTGCTCTTAACCTCTGAGCCATCTCTCCAGCCCCTACTGCCATGTTTTCGAAAGCAACACGGTTCCCGGTACAGTCAATACTGCCCTTGTTCTCCGGGATGGAACCCAACCCCTCCAAAATGCCAAGCAAGCACTCTACCAACTGAGGTAAGTCCATCACTCCTTTTTCAATGCTTTAAGTTGTTTTTTTTTTTTTTTTTAAGGAATGGTGATATGGCTAAGCATTGGCTACTATGCCTGATGACGTGGTCTTCCAAGTCATGCGGTGGGTTTGAAAGCAGAGAACTGGCTTTTTAAAGTTGTTCTCTGGCCAGATGGTGGTAGCGAACACCTTTAATCCGAGCACTTGGGAGGCAAAGGTAGACAGATCTTAGTGAGTTCAAGGCCAGCCTGGTCTATAAACAGAGTTCCAAAAGAGGTTCCAAGGTTACAGAGAAACCCTGTCTCAAAAAAAAAAAAATAGTTACTTTCTAACCTTTACATGAATGTGGTAAAATGATGTGCATACCAATATAGCATGCTCCATTCCCACAATAAAAATAAATGTAAAAAATGATGCATGTACCAGAAATCAGCCTAAGGATCTAATTTACAGAGCACTAATGTTGGGTGTCTGGGTTATCTTATTATACAATGTCTCTGCATAGGCCCTATGGGGAAATCACAAGTTTTTTGTCCTTTCAGTCAGGAAGAGTATAATGCAACGGCTCCACTTTTATGTTTTAATTTGGGAAAAGGGGCAAGGGGTGAGATAGAATCTCAGGTAACCCGGGCTGACCTCAGACTTACCATGTAACCAAGGATCCTTGGTCTCAGCATTCAGCACTGAGACTACCAGAACTCCATTATACCTGGCTCTGTTGTTATTGTACAGACAACAAACATCATGGCCAAACGGGTACTTTAAGAATGAATAAGGCTGAGCACATTTTGGCTGAACATCTTCAGATGGGAAGAACTGAGACTTCAGAAACAAACAAGCTGTCTTTGAGTCTGCTCTCAAGCACAGCCAGTCAGGTGCTGCAGCTCTCACCCAACGCCTAAGTTCTTACTTATTTTAGTAGGAAAGGGTTTACAAATGAAGCAAAATCTTCACACTCTAGACTCTGTAATATAAGCACAATTAACTTTCCAGTTATTTCACAGTGTGGGCTCCATTTCACTGTCCTCAGGAGAGTAGCTCAACTGGTCTAAAGACACTAGCTGGCTAGGATCCCTGTTCAGGTATGCTCTGTTGTGCTGTCTGAGCATCTGGGGTACTGGGGGGCACTCACCAGTGGTACCAGTCGTCACAGCCGTCACAGCCGATCATAGGACTTCCGTCATCAGGCTTGTTGCACCCTGGACAGATCCAGATCTGATTGCCCCACTCATCGCGGATCTGATGTTAACGTGGAGGAACAAAAACAGATGGTGTGCGGAAAAAGAACCAGAAGACGCCAGATAAGAATGCCGCTGTATACTATAAACACAGCAAACTACGAGCTGGAAATATGGTAGATTAGCTGCTGTTCAACAATGGCTTCTCCCGTTCCTCTCACACACTCTCTTCTTCTTCCCTCTCCCACTCACTGTCTCCCTCCATCCCAATATGCTTTCTTCCCCCTCCCTTTTACTACCTCTCTCTCACACAATGTCTCTCTTTCCTCAGGCCCTCTCACACTTTCTCCCTACTCCCCTCCCTTTCTCACACACTCCCTACTTCCTCCCTCCTTCCTTCTTTTTGAGGCAGGTCTCACAAGCTCAGGCTGGCTTGGCAGTCATTATATAGTCCAGGCTGGCCTTGAACTCCAATCTCTGCCTCAAGCTCCTGAGTGGTGGGATTTCTAGTGCATGCTGCCACAGCTGGATATAGTAACATATTTCTAATGTGTACTCTAAACTGTGCTGTAAAGTTTTTAAAAACAAAGCATTCTAGAATCAGCTTTAAAAACCATAACATGACCTACATTTGGCTTCATCTAAGAAATTCCTATAATCTCATGAACTCTTTATGAGTCTTCCCGCCAGTAATAACTGATATTTTTGAAAGTGCTCAGTTTTACATATTTTTTCAGCCACGTTCATAGCATGGAATTAGCACATACAGTCAAACATGCATGTATTCCCTCATTACTTATTAGCCAAACCCTTCTCCTGAACTAGGTGATAAGATCAAGGATATAAAAGAGCTGTTACTAAGTAACTTTCCATTCCCTTTATGACATTTTAGAAAAGTACAATCAACTAAAGAACTACATACTTAATTATTATTATGCTCCAAAGACTGCATGTCCTAGAGTTCTGACTTTGTTCTCAACAGTAAGTGTCCCTAACTTTATGACTTTCTCAGATGTTGTATTATTGAAACCAATTCTGCATGGATACTATAAAAGAGTGCTGGGTCAAGCTCCCTTTTAAATGTCCTCATAGCAAGACAACATGATCTCACTGTGTATTTTCAAGGTGGCCTCCTCCTATGCTGTTAAGCACTACACTGACTAAAGTGTGGGAGAAAGTGGTTTCCTTGTGAGGGTTATCAAAAGTGGATATACTCCTCTGTACGTATGGGCTTACTATAAGGCCTACTAGTTTTGAAAGTCTCTACAAAGGCAAACTACACTGACCTGAACCCTTTCTACAGGAATGTGGAGGAAGCTGCCTCTGATTGCTGGCCCTCACGTGGGGAAAACTGCACCATGGGGAAAGAACCAGTAGTCACCAGGCACTGAGTGTCCAGTGACTGAAGCGACCATGCATGGCCAGTCTTGCTGCTGGCTGACCTTTCTTGACATTAGCGGGTTGTGACTCTGAGTTACACCCAATACTTTCTAGGGTATAGAGTTCTTTCAAACATGACTTTATTTAATCATTGTAAACCATCTTTGGATAGGTTAGAAATGGGGGAACAGGAACTACAAGAATTTCACTGTCAACATCACACTAACAGGTAGTGACAGAGTCTCTCTGTGTCCTAATAAGTATTTAGACTAGGAGACGTTTTGGGCTCTATCCCAGTTGGTGTCACTTCTGTGGAGTAAGTTCAAATGTCTACTGGAGAGCCACAATCTTTAGAGCCAGACAAGACTGCAGAGATTAATGCGTCTAATACAAATCCCTTAATTAGAGATAAACAAATGGAGGATGAAGAGATTAAGTATAAACTCTTTCCTGACCAACTCACCTGGGGTGACGCCTCAATTAGACCCCCCGATTGATCCTTTGATGGACCAATTTATTCCTCACAGGTTTTTGTATCACATTTTCTGTCTTGAATTGCCAATTTATTATTTTTATTATATATAATAGATTAATCTGATAATTTATTATTGCCAATTACTAATTTTCCCTGCCTACGCACTATCTGAGTGCATTCAGGATTTTCCTTTTAAATACTGCTTTGTGTCCTTAAAGTATCTCACATACTTAATGATTTGTCTTTTTCCAAACTCCCCTATGTAACACACGGTTAGATATCTCTTAACAAATAGCACCAGTCCTGTGCTGCCACTTGCCAGTCATTCATTTCTTTACAAGGTTAGGCTAACACAACAGAAAAGAGCTTGTCATTCAAAAGCATCAACGTCTCCATTTACGAAACATTTTGTTGTGTGCTTGTGTGTGTCTATTCACTATGCTTTGAGAGCATGCCTTTATAAATACTTCATTTGGGGTTAGAATAAGATCTGATTATATTAACTATGGGGAAGACATCTAAGTGCAGTTTCAGGACAACGTGGAATCATTCGATATGATGGAACGCCATCTATCTATCTATCTATCTATCTATCTATCTATCTATCTTCAATATTAGGAGTTAAACTCAGGCCCCTGTACATGCTAGGCAAGCTTTCTACCACTGAGCTATGTCTCTAGCCCATATTTGGTAGGTCTAATAATAAAAAAAATACACTTGAATCTCAGAAAATAATCTGGTTTAATGGTTCATTTCTATTTAAAATGTAAGTTCTAACATATGCTAGATCTCACCAAATAAAGTACAATAACTAATTAGTGCTATAATTAAGAAACATAGCTGGCCCATAATGGTGTGGGATTCCCCTCTGTATGCTGTGAATATGATTGGTTAATAAACTGTCTTAGTCCTGAGCAGGGCAGAACAGAGGTAGGATGGGAAAACTAAACTGAATGCTGGGAGAAAGAAGGCAGAGTCAGAAGCCATGTATCCTTGCTAGAGATAGACACCAGAACTTTACCCAGTAATCCACAGCCTCATGCTGATACACAGATTAATGGAGATAGGTTAATTTAAGATACGAGTTAGCCAGAAATACGCTTAAGCTACTGGCCAAACAGTATTGCAAATAATATGGTTTCTATGTGATTATTTTGGGACTGAGCAGCCGTGAACAAACAAGCGACCTCCTTATAACACCATCAGATCTATGTCTAGTACATAAATTATACTCCAGTCACTAATTTACTCACTCTAGTAAGAATTCATTGATGAATTTAAATAACAGAGTATATACTGATTTTCTTATATTTAGGTACACAGCCATGTTTCAAATCAACATAAAAGCAATTTGACATCATTTATGTAGCTGAGTGTGAACTTTGTAAAGTAAGTTTTGAGAAAAAGGCAATGGAAATGCTTCTCCATTTATCGAGTACTTCCTGTGAGAGTCAACATCACAGAATTAGCAATTACTTAAATGTTGTAGAAACATACGCACCACGTAAGTGCTGACTGTCTCTGTCACCACGCTCCGCACTGGGGCTTTGGCACTCCCTGATCCAGAGAGGGCAGGGGCTGGGGATGGCATCAGGGCTGGGCACACTGTAGCCTGGGCAAGGAGTGGTGGTGGCAGAGGAGTAGGGCTCACACGCACAGGAACAGGGACTGGGACTGGAGGTGGGGTTTTAGGTCTGTTCAGAGAAGGGGCTGGCTTAGCCTCGGGGGCTGGCACCACCTTGCTGATGACACTGTCAAGAGAGAAAAGTAAAAGTTAAAATATATCACGTATTCAAACAATTACTACAAAAATCCTTTGTCTGGAAGCAAAATAGGCTTACTTTACTTAAAACACAGCCTCCCACCAAACAAACAAAGAAACAAACAAAACAACACGTTTATTTAGGGTATGTGGTGGTCAGACGACAGCTTGCTTGGAGATGGCTCTCTCCTTCCACCATGTGAGTTCCAGGGATCAAACACAGGTTGTCAGGTTTGTGTAGCAGGTATCCTTACCTGCTGAGCCATACTGTCATCCACATTTATTTATTTTGCTGTGTCTCATGCATGAATGGCAACCACTCTAAGAGCTGAACTATATCCCCAGCTTTGCAAAATCTGCTTTTAAGCATCCAGAAACAGTTAATGAACTTAGAATTCACAGCCCATCATCAATTATTCTTGCACCGGAGGCTAACTTTTCATTTTCTCCAATTGCCCCTCAGTGATCAGATATGTAGACATACTCTACACATCAACGTACATGTGTTTCCACAGATGTGTAATGCACAGATTGTGTTGTCTGTAGCTGGATTTACACTCCCTTTATTGACTTTACAGGTCTCGACATGACTTCGGCGGCTGATGAAATGAGAAGCATTGTGGCCCTTGTGAGTAGCTTCTTTTTTTTTCCCCCGAGACAAGGTTTCTCTGTAGCTTTGGAGCCTGTCCTGGAACTAGCTCTTGTAGACCAGGCTGGCCTTGAACTCACAGAGATCTGACTGCCTCTGCCTGCCGAGTGCTAGGATTAAAGGTGTGTGCCACCACCACGGGCTCTGAGTAGCTTCTTGTAAACTGTCATGGACTGGGAAGTCTTGTTAGAGTCAGAAGAATCCCTTCCTCCCCAGAAGCTATCCTGCCCCCAAACCTGCAGGTGTTTTTTATGTTTTACTTTTTTATACTTTGAACGAGAATGTTCTCCATAAGGCTCGACTATGTGAATACTTGACTTGGGTCTCCAGTTGGAGGCAGTTTGGGGAGATTTAGATGGTATAGGTTTACTTTACTTAAAACATCCCAAATTATTTAGGGTTATGTGATGGCCAGAGAAAAGCAGGTTTTGAGATTATATAGTCTCATTGTGCTTCCAGTTTGCTCTGCCTACTTCAATTCATGTTCATAGCTAGAGGTGTGATCACTCATCTTCCTGCTTGAGCGACCATGCCTGCCACTGTGACCATGCCTCCCTACCACAATGGAGCCCCATCCCTCTGGATCTATAAGCCCACAGAAGCTCTTCCATAAACTGACTTGGTCATAGAATCTGATCAGAGCAAACACAAAGTAACTAATACGGAAGTTGGTAGAGACTGGCCTGCTGCCTCACACTGACGTCACTAAGTGTGGCCGGTGTGAAAGAAAAGGAAAGCCAAAGGGAGTGGCACTAGTGGGAGGTGTGGCCTTGAGGGAGGAAGTGTGTCACTGCAGAGGCAGGCTTTGAGGTCTCATATATATATATATATATATATATATATATATATATATATATATTCAAGCCACACCCAGTGAGACAGTATACTTCCTGTTGCCTCTGGATAAAGATGTAAGGACTCTCAACTCCAGTTACATGCCTGCCTGCATGCTGCCTTGCTTCCCACATTTCCTGATAAGAACATTTTAAGATTGTTAAATTCGTTTATTATGTAATGGACTAACCCTCTGAATTGTAAGCAAGACACCCCAATTAAATATAAGAGTTGCTATGGTCATGCTGTCTCTTCACAGCAATAAAAACCCTAAGACACCATGTTACTTTTTTGAGGACTGTGGAAGACTGAATCAAGAGTGATTGAATGCTTTAAGCAGCACTTAGTAAGCTATTCTAATAGAAGCCTGGAAAATAGTGTGGACTACAAAGGCCCAGCTCAAGCGGTATGAAAGAGGAATGTTATTAGCAACTGGACTAGAGGGCATTCATGTGATATTTTGGTAAGAATCTGTCTGTTCCAGAGAAGCTAGCTAACAAGGAAGACTCTAAGAGGATGCATGGATGCCCCTAGGAAGGGAAAGTAGACAAGATCTCCTGTCAGTGTGAGGGAGGGGAGGAGAAAAGGGATGGTTCAGTTGGGGGAGGGACAAAGAAGGAGAACAAGAAAAAAGAGCTTATTAGAGGGAGCCATTATGGGGTTGGCGAGAAACCTGGTGCTAGGGAAATTCCCAGGAATCTACAAGGATACCCCAGCTAAGATGCCAAGCAATAGTGACGAGGGTGCCTGAACTGGCCTTCCCCTGTAGATTGATGACTACCCTAATTATCATCACAGAACCTTCATCCAGTAACTGATGGAAGCAGATGCAGAGATTCACAGCTAAGCACTGGGCCAAGCTCCTAGAGTCCAGTCAAAGACAGTGAGGAGGGGATTACATGAGCAAAGGGGTCAAGATCATGAATGGGAAAGAGACAGGTGACTCGAGCTAGTGGGAGCTCATGAACTCTGGACTGACAGCTGGGGAGCCTGCATGGGACCAAACTAAGCCCTCTAAATGTGGACTCCAGTGTGGCTTAGGCAGTTTGTGGGGTGACTGGCAGTGTGACCAGGATTTATTCCTAGTGCATTAACTGGCTTTTTGGAGCCCATTCCCTATGGAAGGATACCTTGTCAGCCTCGATACAGGGTCACAGGAGGGGCTTGGTCCTGACTCAACTTGATACGCCAGACTTTGTTGATTCCCCATGGGAAGACTTCTCTGAGGAGTGGATGGGGAGTGGGGTAGAATGGGAGGCAGATGGGGGAAGTAGGAAAACGAAGGGAGGGAAACTGTGGTTGGTTTGAAAAATAAAACTTTTAAATATGAAATGGAGAAAAAAGAGAAAAAGAATCTGGTTGTTTTCTTATCTTAAGAACTTGCCTGAGGATAAATTTTAAAGTAATGGGCTAATTTCTTTGGTGGAGGAGTTTCTTTCTTTCTTTCTCTCTCTCTTTCTCTCTCTCTCTCTCTCTCTCTCTCCCCTCCTTCCCTCCTTCCCTCCCTCCCTCCTTCCTTCCTTCCTTCCTTCTTTCCTTCCCCCTCCCCTGGTTTTACGGGATAGGGTTTCTTTGTGTAGGCCTGGCTATCAGGAAACATGCTCTGTAGACCAAGCTGACCTCAGTGTACAGTGTGTTATTTAGTCAGGTATAGTAGCCCTAGCACTAAGGAGACAGAGGCAGGCAGATCTCTGTGAGTTCAGGGCCATCCTGGTCTACATAGTGAGTTTCAGGACAGTTAGGGCTAGCAAGACCCTGTCTCAAAATACCACATTAATAAAATTCAAGCTTTCTAAGAAGAAAAATGAAGGCATGAATATTTATGTGTGTAGTTACAAAAAAGTTCAAAAGAACACACACACACAATCCAGAAACTGCCTCTATAAGCTGGAATTACAAGGTACTTTCCCTTGGTTTATCTGTAATTAACATATAAATCTTACAATAAAAATAATGAAAAAGTAAAAATATATAATTTAAAGTGTTTCTGGGAACTTTTAAACAGAATGATGGCTTAGCCAATATGTTCCAGTGAAATATTGGTCGCAGTTTAGTTATAAACATTAGGACATAAAGCCCCAAGCTAAGCCAGAGGGCTTCACAATACAGATGACTCTCTCATGGTTAATGGAGATCAACAGCCTAAACAAGAAAGTGAGTCTTTGGTAACATACTATTTGTTTATGCAACTAAAATAATAAATTAATAAATGAGTTCTTTAGATATTGCTATAGTTTGAATGCTGCTTGTCCCAGAAGATATATGTGTTCATATGCCAAATCTTCAAGGGGTGGGGTGTAGTGTAAAGCTATGTGTGTGTGTGTGTGTGTGTGTGTGTGTGTGTGTGTGAGAGAGAGAGAGAGAGAGAGAGAGAGATTAAAGTGAGCACTTGGTTTACAGAACAAACTACCCTACTTCCAAGCGGTTGGGGCAGCATTAATTACTACAGTGACCCACTTCCTCAACTCTTGTAGTTCAAAGGACAGTTTCTGAGAGAGTTTGAGTTATTTGATTATAGGTTCTATGTGACTTGGGTAGTTGAATATACAATTTTAAAAGCAATTCTTTTTCTTAAGGAAAAATTTTCTATTATCTAGTTTTAGCAATATGAAGAATCATGTAGTAGTGCAACATAATACACATCCTCAGCCCAGATTAGCTGAAGTATAAACACTCAATCAATTTCATTGTAGAGTGATGCTGGATTCCGGCTGCCCTTTCCCTCCTATTGAACTGCACAGTAAGTAACCCTCTGGAGTTTCCTGTGAGGGCCAACGTCTCACAGAGAAAGCAATACTGCCCACAGCTGTGCCCCAAGCTGGCTCTGCTGCTAACGTTACATCTTTTGGGGGATTTAGTCACAGTACCCTAACTGCTATAAACACTGGTGTTATTCATACAAATGTGCAGAAGAAGGGACTGTCAGAGGGATTTCTTTACCTGTTTCCCCACCACAAAATCGGTGAAACAAACAGAATGGGTCACGAGCTGTAATGCAAACTCACAGTTTGACAAGTCAATAAAGAGCCAGGTACTGCCTCCTGGCCCTCAGAGCCTCCGAGGTTAGAGGCAAACACAATTTGGATATGTTCTGCACAGGGGGTTTAATGATCCTCATTATTCAGCTATTGTGTGCAAACACTATGAAACCAGCAATCTAAATTAGAAGTCCAAATAACTGGTTACTGAAGTGCTCTCACAGTTCAAAAGTTCCCTCACAATGGCTTACTTATTTAGCCGAACAGTGAATGGCCACTTTTAAATGGTGACATGACACCATAGGGAAAAGCACTGTGATCATGCCTATGGATTTTATGTGACCTTCTGAACACAGAAATTATTCAATGGAGAAAAATCACTTTGAGGAAAAACGTGTTCCTTACATCACAATTCATTTACTTCTTTCTAAGTGTTTAATTTTAGATTTTAGACACACTATCACCCATAAGAAAAACATTCTCACATTTGCTAAATGAATCTCTTCTTACAACAAATGAGAAAATATT